ACACTTACCTGGACGCAGAGTTAGACTATGTCTGTTCCTGAAACGCCGGCGGTGCAGGAGACACCTCTCGCGAGCCACTCCGCCACCAAAAACCCTGACTCAAGGCTTTGCACCCTACCAGCGACCAAGCGTAGGAGAGACGGCCGCTCTCCTACTGCATTGACTGGTGGTGAGAGCACCCCCATTCCCTCCTATGGACCGGCAGGGGTTATCCCGGTCCCCCATGGAGAGTCCCTTATATTTACATCGCACTCGGACGACAGACACCTAACACATGGTGTATCCGGCTGAAACGTTCAAGATGGTGGACGAGCTCCATGAACAGGGGCGTGAACTGCACAGGCCGGAGACTACCCTAGCGGGCTTGGTGGACGACATGCTGTAACGCCTGGATCAGGTGTTTGAGAGATTCTGGCAAAAGATAGAAGCCCGAACGCTACCTTCACAGCCCTAACTACAAGTGAACATGTGGAGTAGCAAGAGCAAAGGCAAACCTGAGCCACCTATGGGCAAAGCATCCTTGAAAGCATTTGAGAAACCTGCCTCAGACACAGTGAGTCGGAAGGCTGTCCAACCACAACTGCACAGAAAAGACCGCGACAGCGGAAACTCAGCACCAGTGTCAAGCGATGGACCACCCGAAGCCTCCAGGCGGGGTTGGACTTGATATCTCACAGAGCCTGGGACCATGGATCCCAGAAGCAAACCTGCTCTCAAGCCTGGAGAAGCCACGCCAATACAATGGCGTACCTCCCTCATACAGCAAAACCCAGAGGCTCACCCACTATACCGAGCCGAGGCATTGGCTGACAAGGACATGCCACTCCAAACACAGCACCCGCATGCCTTAAGGATACAGTTCTCTATGTCCCAACTGGCACCAGGGTGCTATACTAGGCCCTTTTACACTCATGCAGCAATTTTATTTTATAACCTTTGATTATCTTTGACTCTTTAGTTGCCTACGTACTGCTGTGTACACTTTATACTACATTCAGGCACTTCAGGGGTTAACCTCACTAGCAACATTATACAGGTTCACCTAAACAGTCTCCACCAGAACACATCAGTTATGCACGCGCACCTCACTTATAATTCAGCGGGCCATCATGTTTAATGTGTTATAATCTTGCTTACACTACAGAAGAGCCACACATGTTGCTACACTCTTAGCAACTCTTAGCTAGCCTGTATGCATATTTATATATCGATAAGCTGTTGTGGTGCTTTGACAAAGCTATGTACTTACCTGCACGACAAAAAATAAAAAAAGTTTACATACCCTTAGAGAATTGGTAATATATGTACCATTTTCTTTTACAAATCTTTATTTTTCGTACGAATAAGTAATAGTCATAAGTGTATGGCCACAACAGCATTAACACATTACATAAGAGCATATCATAGGTAATACATGGCATCATGGAGTGACAATTCGCACATTTTTATTATAATGGACTGATAGGTTATAACGAGAGGTATAGATAAAGAAAAGGAGAGTGTGGTCCACTCGTCTATGTCGGGGTAACAGTACCACTATCTGTGACTCACATAGCCAATGTCATAGATAAGCCTAGTTGTAGTGTCCCAGTGCTGCACGTATCCCTGGACCTTCGGGATTGGGGAATGACGTATATACAAAGTTGAGTGTGTTGGGTTTCGTTAGTCTAGGCTGTACCTGAATATAAAATAGTGTGTTGTTGGGGGTTCTTGAGGAGGTGCCAAGTCCCTGTACAAGTGGGAGTTGCCAAGAGTGGTGTAGTGGGCGGTACTGGGACTTATGGTGTGCTGTTAGCTAAAGAGTGAGGCTTACATTAAACTAGGCTAGAATAGGTTGTCAAGTGAAGTGTATTTGTGGAATACTAGAAGCGGAAGTCTAGTCGAGTAGGAGCTTGAGTGGGTCGCGTGGCCTAGTTGAGCCATCTTAGGAATGGCATCCCTATTTAGTTGTTTGATGCAAGGTAGTGTGTGTGAGCTCCCATGTAAGTAGTAACCCCTAACCATAGGGTGGTTGTTATTAACGAAAACATGTTTGGACTAAGGTAGTGGATAAAGCGTCCCAACACATCGTTGTATGCAACTAGCAGGACGGCTGTGGCCCCTCTTCTCACTGGTTTTGGATCTAGCCTGTGGCCTGAGGTTGAGGATTAGCGGTGGCATTAAGTCCTCCTGATGATGGGGGGAGTCCCAACACTATCAGCTGTGCTGGGCCATCTTTTGAGTTGGTGGCCCTGTAGTGTTGGCCCTCCTGTGTCACCCACAATGTTCCAGGTGTTGCACAGCTGTAAGCGAATCCTGCTACTTGTAGTGATTGCATATTTTTGTGCACTAGCACGTTTCGAATTCAAACTGTGTTTTTCCCTTTAATGCAGCAAGCAGTCCCAGTTTGTCTGTCATTGATTGGCACCGCAGTATAAGGTCCCATGGAGCTGCGTTGGGGGGATTGTGGGGCTTGTGGAGATTTAGAGATCCTGTAGATTTCATCGAATGAGAAGGTTTTGGTATGTAAATGTACCATTTTTAAAGAAAACATGAGTGAGCAGGCAAAACACATTTCTTTTATTTCTTATGGAATTCATATTCAACTGTAGGTTATAACAGAATGACATAATCATAAAACAAACCATGGCAAAGAAAAAAAATTATATGACCTCTGTTCAAAAGTCTGCATACCCTTATTTCTTAATACTGTGTATTGCCCTTTTTAGCACCAATGACAGTGTGCAGTATTTTGAAATAGTTGTCTATGAGGCCCCTAATTCTTGCAGGTGGTATAGCTGCCCATTCATCTTTGCCAAATTCCTCAAGGTAATGCAAAGTATTTGGTCATCTTGCATGAACCGCATGTTGAAATCCCCCCAGGGTGGCTTGATGATATTAAGGTCAGAAGACTGTAATGGCCACTCCAGAACCTTCACCTTTTTCTGCTGTAACCAGTGGAGGGTCAACTTGGCCTTGTGCTTAGGTTCATTGTCATGTTGAGGAGTCCACGAGTGTCCCATGTGTAGCCTTCGTGCAGAAAAACGCAAATTGTCTGCCAGTACTTTCTAATAACATGCTGCATTCATCTTGCCATCAATTTCACAAGATTCCTAGTGCCTTTAGAACCCTCCCCCCCATCCCCTCCCAAAAAAAAAAATCAAAAAAAAAAAATCAGTGAGCTACCACCATGCTTCACAGTGGAGATGGTATTATTTTCACTACAGGCCTTGTTGACCCCTCTACAAACATAGTGCTTATGGTTGCAACCGAGCGGGGACCCACCGAAGGGCAGGCTATTTTAGCTGCTGCCTGTTCTCAGTATTCTCTTGTGCCCGTTTTCTGCTCTCCATAAGTTTAAAGGGTAATCCAGACGTGGACCCCGTGCTCACGGTGCCTAGAGAGATATCAGCTATGCCTCACTGATGATGCCTAACAAGGCTGAAACGATTGTCTGGGGTTGCTGTGTCTCTCATGCAGAGGGGACTTGCTGGCATTTCGGATCTGGACTGCCCGTATGGGTGGGACATGCGTGTGAGTATGTGTGTTTCTGTCAGCGTGTGTGTGAGTATGTGAGTTTGTGTGTGTGTGTGGTTCTGTCAGTGTATGTGTGTGTGTGTTAGCGTGTCTGTCAGTATGTGCGTGTGTGAGTTTGTGTGTGTGTCAGTGTTTGTGTGTCTGTGAATGAATGAGTGTCAGATAATCGAGTCTGGCTGTCAGAGATGTCTGTGTGTTTGTCATTGAGCGTGTGTGACTGTCAGTGTTTATACACCCGACTGTAGCGTGGCCAAGCGGAGTGTACCGTGGTACAGGAACTTCTGTTTCCTGTACCTGGCAGGACTGACAGGAAAAGCTCACTGTACCGGGACTCGCTCCGCTCAGCCACGCTACAAGAAAGGTAGGAGGCACACCAGGAAGGGGAGGGGACTACTATGGGGGTGGGTGGCGCACCAAGGGACAGGGAGAGGAGGGGAGAGATACCATAAGGTACAGGAAAAGGAGGGACGGAGGGAGAGGAACACTAAGCGACAGGGAACAGAGGGGGGAGGGGAGAGGAACACTAAAGGGACAGGGAAAGGAGGGGGGAAGGGAAAGGAACACTGAGGAACAGTAAGGGTCAGAGAAGGGAGGGGACCATTAAGGGACGGGGAGAGGGGCTGGATGTGAAAGAAACTTGCATCTTCGCCTATGTACCCAAAATTCTTTGCACCGGCCCTGCCTCCCTACTACCTTTCTTGTGAATAGACACAGCACTGGTGAGTTTCCAATCATCTAGGACTACGCCTGTTAATGATTGGTTAAATAAATCTGTTAATGGTTTCGCTAGTAAACCACTTAGCTCTTTTAATAACTTTTGGTGTATTAAATAAGGTCCCATTGACTTGTCTTTACTTTTAAAAGTTGAAGTAGAACCTATTTCTCTGTTAACCCACATGTAACAAATGACATTTGTCCTACCTAACCAAGGTCCCTTTCCTTAATTTTCATCTGTAAATACTGTACAAAAATTTTCTATGGAGGCAGTCAGCTAGACCTTTATCCTCTTCTACATACCTTCCTTCTTTTGTTTTTAGTCTAACTAATCCTTGTTTTACTTTCCTTTTCTCATTTATGTATCTAAAACATGTTTTACCCCCTTTATTACTGACTGTGCTATTTTCTTTTCTGTGTGTGCTTTGGAGGTTCTTATAACTTGCTTAGCTTCTTCCTGCCTAATCTTACAGATCATTCCGTCTTCCTCACTCTGATTTTTTTTATAATTACTAAATGCTGACTTTTTGCTTTTTTACAATTTTGGCCATTTCTGCAGAGTACCACAGTGGTTTCTTTAATATTTTGCCCTTACTGACAAGCCTAATGCAATTTTCTCTTTCCTGCAGTAGTGCAACTTTTAAATAATCAAATTTCTCTTAGACTCCATTTAAACTGATCCAGTCTGATAATGACTCTTTTACACATATTCTAACTGTAGAAAAGTCTGTTTTTCTTAAATATGAAACTTTTGTTTGTGTGGCTCAGTCACTGTTCTTATATTAAACCACACTGACCGGTGATCACTGGAGCCTAAACTTTCGCATACTGTTGCGGCTCCCGACCCGCCGGGTGCCGCAGCCGTACCCGACAGGCAGTCTCGCCGACACCACGAGCTTACCTACTCGTTGGCGAGCCAGGAGCCGCTCCACTTCCTTCTATTGGGCATCGCGCCCAAATCAAAGATGGTGTGGATCACGTGGTCGCGTCCATCTTAAGCTCCGCCCCTCTAATGAATACAGACGTGCGCATGACATCACGACATCAGCGTGCACGCACATTCTGGGGTCAAAGGTCACCCTCTGACCAATCAGAAGCCAGAGAGGGATATTTAAATCCCTAATTCACTTTACTTCTTTGCCCTGTCGTGGTTTCTTGTTCCCGAGAGTGCGTTTATCTTTGTGATTTTGACTTCCTGGTATCCTGATCTTGGCTTTTCCCTGGTTATTCTGAATTCTGGTTCCCCTGCCTTGGCTAGTTTAAACGGTATTTGAGTATTTCTGGCTTCCTTGACCTCGGCTTTCCCTTTGACCATTCTCTATCTCTAGCGTATTAGTCCGGCCATTCTAAGGTCCGGTTTACGCTCTGTCCTTTTATTTTCCTTTTCTTGTGTATGTATATATTTACATAGTTTCTGCGTGTTGGACCACACTAGGTGCTGTGACACATACAGTAATATCCGATACCAATTCTCCATTCGTTAACACTAAATGTAGTATGGCCTCCTCCACAACTTGTTTTTAGAAAAAAATCCAAGTAGGGAGTTTAGAATGTGTGTGCTCCTGGCACAAGCAGCTATTTTGGTTTTCCAGTTCACATCAGGAAGATTAAAGTCACCCTTGATGAAAACTTCCCCCATCAGTGTAATTTTAGCTATTTCCTCAACTAGTAGATTATCCAACTCTATTTGTCCTGGGGGGCCTACAAATCACACCTGTAACCGCTGGTGGTTCCCTTATTTACCACTATAATGTCTTAAAGCATAGAACTTAATAGGGCTAACCATACAGATATCTTAGCCATAATTTTATATAGTGTTAGAGATCCTCTATTTAACATATATAAATAATTGAGAATACAATATAAAATAAGGATTGTCTTGGAAGCAAGATTGTCTTTTGGATATTTATTATATAAAAATATAAAATCCATTATAGCAGAGTTTATAAGATTAAATTACATGCTTGCAAATATCATTAATAGGTTAACATACCCTTCTGAACATGTCATCATGTCAGCCTCTCTGTCATTTTAAGATGGAGCAGCGTCTGTCTCCAAGTCTCTCCTCTGTGTCTTAACATTTAAAAGTACACCTATTTATACCTTAGATGTCTCCATTTTAGGTTACTGTAGTTCAAATATGAAAAAGTAACACTTCTTTTACTTTATTCAATTTAGGACCTCCCTTAATTTGGCAAACATACAAGGCCATAACTAAAGGGTGTATACGTCATGGAAATTTTCCTGACTTAGTTCAAGATGGCATCTTAAAGTCTGAATAGGTTATCTGTTGTTTATACTAAGTCGTAAGTGTACAGTAGTGGGAGATTCCCAGATTTGGGGAAGTTCCATTAACTTGGGGTTACCACAGTATATTGTGTACTGCAAGAGTCGTAGCATAGCCTTGAAACTTGTTTATGCATTATTGTTATTGTAATTCGTCTGGGACAAAATGGTGCAAACATATTATGCACTGAGGTTATTGCATAAAGAAACATCTATGAAAAACAATATGTTCCATTTCTAACACCTTGTCAATTTGCAATATCTCTTAAAGACAAAGTACACAGTTTAAGAAATACAACATTTCATTCTAAAACTTGTAATATTTGCATTTGCCCGTAACACCCTCTCCATTAAACTGTGGGCATTGTAGCGCATTTCTTCCTTAAATTAGTAAACCAAAGTTCTCCAACAGTCTTTAGGTTTTTGTGCTCCCAGCATCTTTGATCATTGTTGTAACAGTAAAATATCCGTAGTGTGATCTTTGCCTATAAAGGTGGTTGATTAAAATGAGCAAAGCTTTTGTCTGGGAAAGAATTGAAAAGAACACCAAGTTCCAGAGTAAGATATTCTTGGATAGATCCGGATACGAATTGTAATCCAAAGTTAAAAATAGTAATTGTATTTGTAATCCAAAGTCTTTAAAGACCTGTAGAAGTTTACATTCCTTAGATACATTGTTGGAGGTTGTGTTTGTAGAACACCCGGGTATTTGTTGTATAGTATAGGTTGTAGAGTCCAGCTTTCCAAATATTTGGATAGAATTGGTTGCAGATATTGAATCAGCATCATCTGTTATCACCGTGGTGATGGCGTTGGTATTTGTCTTTGTCTTTTGTCTTTGCTTTTTATTTTGTTTGTTTTTTCCATGAAACATTTTTACACCGTTTATGATGTGTATAGATTGGATACTCTCTGATATTCTTTTACGGAATAAATTAATTGACAGCATTTCCAAGACATTGTCTTAAGTGACATGGATCCCGTTATAGTAAATGTTATGTTGATACAGCAATCTAAGTGGATTCTCAGGAACACCTCTTTTTGCTGTATTGGAATCTTTGTAACATCTCAGTGATAGACATCTCACTGACATCAGGTGTTGTTGTGCAAAAAATGTTAACAGGTAAAATCTGTGGAAAAATCTTTACATTTGTTATAGTTTGTATAATAATGATAGATGAAATAGTAATATAGTTAATCTTTCTAGTGTTTTGTTTTAAAGATAAACACCCTTGTATATGATTTAGATATATAATGATAATTTGAAGCAGCAAAGTATTTACCGCCTTTGTTCACCATGGTATGTAAAATTACATTCTCTTTAAATGTTAAAATTCAAAAACTTTATTCCTTTATTCAAAAACTCTCAATATATTTAGAATAGTTGCTAATTGGAAATATGACGTTAATTATCTTTCTTTGACCTGTTAGGGAGAAGACAACTTATTCCCTAGTTAATAAAAAGTTATTAGTGGCTTAAAATACCAGAAACCCCCAAATATTGTCTTAGAAAACATTTTTTTTTTTTTTTTAACCAAGATCTGACAGCCATTGTGGAAAGTTACATTTGTGAGATTGGATGCTCAACAATGAGAATCTTAATTGTTTAAGTATATTTTTCAGTGGCTGTTGGATGTAGCTTAAGATGATTAGAATGTATTATTATTTCTAAAAGTGAGTTAAGAAAGCACTCAGATAAAATATTGAAGGTATTTATATTTTAACACTACCTTTGTATAGGTGGTTTTATGTACCTTTAACCATTACAAACCAAATAACATTTTCTTTGTATTTGAAAAACTGATAAAATATTTGATTACGTTTATTTTAATATACATAGAATGGTATGGATGTTGAATTTATATCTTAGAACTCATTTCACCAGTTTGCAATAGGTGACCTAAATTATTAATTTCTAAATTCATCATGTATATCACCTGGATGGGTTAATCAATAATACTCTTTTACTTTCCATTGACTGGCCTTAGCTCTGGCAGACTGGATAGGTTTATCATTATAAATAAACTTTATGATAGTTGAAGTAAAGTTTCTGCCTGTCTTTCAGTTAAATTTTATATTAATTATACCACTCTGCAAACTTAAACGAATATCGAATAGTTTCTGATTTAATAAAAACATTTCACATTTTCTTTTAAGGTTAAAACATTCATTATTGCAGTTGTTATTGCAATCATATGATCTTTAACTATCATGATTCAATTATTTATCTGGGTAATTAGCTGTTATGCTCTTATACTTTATGTCTAATATATTTGTTTGTAGGCCAGACTGCAGCTGCATTTGGCATTTTAGCAATAATCTTCAATTGCGTTCCAGATATTCACAAAGTCTATCCACCTTTGTAATTAACACATTATGTGTTTCTTATACCATTAATTATAGTATCTCTATTATATTACACATTGTCACTGATACATTTCTGATACAGGGAAAAAATAGCATGATTGCTTTAGTAATTATAATTTTCGGTCCATGCACCACATTCCTAGAAGTCCAGAATATAGCAAGAATCCTTTGTCGTTTGATTCTATGGAGCCGTTTAACATTTTGATTGGTATAGTTATACCAAAAGAGCAAGGAGTACGACGGTAGATCACATCTGCAACAGAACCATTACAGATTCCTTGTTGTATCAATGTCTCTGTGTTTATGTTTACAGGAGTTCCTTGCTTTGCAGGTATGTACATAATTTGTAGAGTTTAAGAAAGGCTGCAAATTGTGCTTTAGTACAAGTGTCCCGTGATGTCAGGTTTCTGACAGGTTTTGCTGGTCTTTTTATATTCCATTCTCTTGTCAGGGCATCTGCTCTTAGTAGGCCGGTATTGTTATTATTTATTAATTGCATCAAGGTTTCTTTCGTTAATTGATGTGTTTCTTCCGAATTCAAATTCATATGCCACCAAATGTCATTGTAAAGTTCAATGTTACAGAATATTGTTCCAGGATGGTTTTTCACTCCAATAGGAAATCTATATTCCTCTTCTTCTGCTCCTTCCTATAAACCACTTTTTCTGAGTTGTAGGCAACAATTTGTGTTGTACTGTGAGGTGCTTTGATAGTCTATCAGGTTTTCTCAGTACCATGTTCCATCTTGAAAAACAGCTGGGTGTTGACAGTTATCAGCCTTTATTTCTTTTTCCGGTCATCTTCTGTCTGGATACATAATTGCAATGTCCAGAATTAGCATAGCACTTCTTTTCAGCATAAGAAGGCTGTTTGCGGTAGTCACTCAATGATAAACTATATGGCAAAGTCTTTTCTTGAATCACCTTCATATGTGCATCCAAAGTTTCTTTGACAAGCATCTGTCCCGTCTCACTTTTAATTCCAGCATCTTTAGCCATCACTGCTGAGTCTAGTATTAGGATTTGAGATAGTCCAATCACTTGTTTCTTGTGTATAATCGGTTTTGGGTATGGTTTCCAATAGGTTCCTTGTGGAATACCAGAATATGTCACATTGGCGATTACTTCGCTGTGAATTGTGTCTCTTTTCATAAGATGGTTCCTGGAGGTCATCCTCACGATCATGGAACTTGTATTGTATGCAGTCCAATTCAATACGGGAGCTTCTTGGTTGTTAACATAATCCCAATGCAGTTTCAAAACGACTACTAGGGTTGATGTTATCATGATAATGCTGCAGATAGTAATAAAGAGACACCACATCCAATTCTTCAGTATCCATTTGCTTCCATCT